ATAAAATATCTATAGCCTAAAGATGTTAACAATAAAATATATAATAAATACACATCTGAATCACAAAAAAAAATGGTAAGATGCATAAAAAAACTTTTCAGGGGTATTTTCTCCATTGAACTGAGGTCCAATGGATTACCTAGATAAAACTGCTAAAATTTCATGGTACCTAATTAACTAAAAATTGGGTGACAGAAATTAATGAGGCTAAAACCTTATTAAAATAAAAATGATGTTGTCAATAGAACTAAATGTTAGTTTCATGGTTTTCAAATTCATCTTTTGCTGTGATATCTACTCTAGGCTTTCTCTCTCTCTCATATTAGGCTTTCCCTGAAATTTTCATTCATGTAAACACAAAGGGTTTCCATAAACCCACCTAAATTTTCATTTAAGGGAAACAAAGAGTTCTGATATAGATAAAGTGGCAAAGTTATTTCACTTTCCTTATAGAAAATATGTTTGTCCTCTACCATCAAATTATTATTTAGATAACAACATAAAAATAAGCATTGGTTTAATTTTAGGATGTGATAGGCAATTTCCATTATTTAATAATTTCTACAATCAAGTAAATGGAGTTTTTCCTAAAAGAAATTATGATATCTATATGTTGCCATCCTAGAGTGAAAACTCTTAACTATAAATACCTTTTTTCCAAGAAATAATCCCATAAAGACCATAACTTCACCCTTTAAAAATAAATCTTCCTAAGAGTCCCCATGCTATTCCTCACCAAGTTACATGAACTCCAGACGTTATCTATTAATAACACCAAAAGTCTCAAAGTGGATGAAATTCTACGTTCCACTGTTCAACAGGTAAGAGGATGAAGATGGCCAGGCTATAATTTGTAAGGAAATGAAAGAGATTGATCCTAGTGTCACATTTAAAAAATGAATTTATAAAATAATTAATTTCTAAAGTGTAACCAACATTATACTTTATAATTCTTTTTTTCTGTATTTCCCAAGTTTTATCAAATGAGTATGTATTACTTCTAGAAAGGAAAAATGAAGCTTTATTTCCAAATATGTATTTACATACATATGAATGCATACACACACACACACACACATATACATATGCATTTATACACACATACATAATGGTGATATTAGTAATCTAAAAGATCTTTTATAGGCCAGTCTAAGTATTACACTATCACGTAACAATTTCTATGGAAATGTATTCCCACATTGTAAATTAATGCTCAAAAAAAATTTAGAACAATAAATTTTTTTTTCAAAAAAGTAGGAAGTATCTAAGTAGAAAATGTACTTTTTAGTCTTCTCGTTTCTCTCAGCAGGGTCTAGACCAGAAAAGAAAGGTTGAGGCACATACATTACAGGCTTGTCTTGGAAAGTGACTGTATTAGTTTTAAAATGTAAAACCTGAAGAACTTGGAAATCAGTATGTTTTATTCCTCTTTAACTGAAGTTTTAAGTGATATCCAAGCCTTTATGCTTCATTCAAATATGCAAAATCTGATCAAAAGAATCCCACCTGATCCCTGAAAAACAGTAAGTATCATATAATATCTTTTATGTTTCCACTGTTTCTATTTCATTTTTTTAACTCATATCCTTACCACAGAGACTTTCTACGAGTACGGCCAAAAGCAGCCTCACAGGCAAGAAAGTTGTCTTTGCTATCAGTTCTAACACGGTTAAAAAAAATTTTTTAACTGATATAAAGTAACTTAAATTTGATTCTAACAAATCTTTTATAACCGGAAATTTTCTGAATCAATGATTTATTATAATCACTACATTACTAAAATACATTTTTTACATAAATAATCCAATGTGAGTTCTCTTACTAACAATCAACAAACAAAAACATCACTACATCTAATTGCAAAAGAATGAAATAAGAATTTAGCTAAACTATAATAGAAATGTTGTCACATGACAGTTTGCATTTTTATTATATGCCTCCCATCAATAAAATATAAACTCTCTGAAGGAAGAGATCTTAACTGTTTTGTACACTGCTATACCCCTCACTCAAAACAACAGGCATTCAATGTATGGATGAAGTACTCTTCTGTAGGAATGCTAGTCAGAAGTATTGATACCAGATAAGGCGTGTGGGAAGTTGTTCTTTCAAATGGTCATAGTACTTCTCACTGCAGGGTATCCAGGAAAAAATCTTACTTGACATATATAAACTAAAATATAT